TGCGGTGCAGAAGGACGAGCTCTCGAAGGAACCCCTGCGGAGCGGGGAAATGGAAGCGACGCGACATGCAGGATGGGAAGGAAGGGCGAATCGCGCCCACCCTCTTCCGAGGAAGCCTACTACCACGCTTGGAGAGCATGCTTGGCAAACGTTTACGAGGCATAAACGCCAAAACAAAAGACGACTGGGCGCGAAACAATTAAAAACGTTACGCCCGATCGCTCTCCAACGTTCCCGCCCCCTCCCCCTTCTCTCTCTCTCTCTCTCTCTCTCCTCTCTCTCATCCTTCCTACCCTTTTATGCCTTTTTCTCTTTCCCTCTAGGCCCTCACCCTATCCCGGGATGTACACACAATCTCGCGGCCGTATATTCACGTACTCCTTTCACAACGAAAACACATGAACGTTGTAAAGCGCTGCTCTCACACAAACATATATGTACGCGCCTGTACATATATACATACATATATACACAAAGAGAGAGAGAGAGAGAGAGAGAGAGAGACTTGAAAATAAAAGGGAATCGCGACGATTTAATGACTGATCGGGCTGTTGCTCGCTGTTTCTGCTGTTCAGGCTGGAGAGCTCTTCCTTCTCCGCACGTCTCTCGCGTTCCTGCTTTCCCTCTTTTTTCCTCTTTTCTGTTTTTTTTTTTTTTTTCTCTCTATTTCCGTGTCTGATAAGGAACTTGCCTTTTCTTCGAACTCTCGCACCGGTCCTCGAATCGGTAGGGTCATTTTTGTGCGACAGATCGAACGCTGCTATTTTCCGAGCGTATCGATTCGTAATAATGAGAGTCTTTTCTCATTGCTTAGATCTCATTTCGAGGTTCGAATCTATAAATCGCTGTTGCCGCGCGCGCTCTTGTTCTCTTCTACAAAATTCTACATACATAATACTATTATACATATATTATAAATGTTTACAAATGCATCGTATGCATTAACACGTATTAAATCATTGAGAAATTAAATCTCAGATTATAATAGAAAAACTTTCGGCATAAATTGTTCCAACTCACACAACTGTAATTTAATAGCTTCCTGAAATCAACATCATGTACAAAAGCGATTTATCAATCGCACCAAAGAAAGAGAAAGCGTTTCCGAGTTTCGCGTACGTACACCCTCCAGTTACTTTACGAGCTTACGAACAATAGGAACTGATAATTCATAGCCTCCATCTCCCTCGTATAATCTTGGGATCCAGAACTAGCGAACGTAAAATTTGTGGTGCTAAGAATTAAGATTTTGTTAAAGCGTTCGAGAAAGTGACGTATAATGTGAATATATTTTACGAAATAATTAAAAATTAAAAGACTTTCGATATATGTATAAAATATATTAAGAAGAAAAAAAGGCTAACGAGAGTCACATCTCAAATACAAAAGTGATCACATATACTAATGTCTTTGGAAATATTTTACGAAAATCAAAGTCTTAGTAAAACTAAATCGTGTATGGCTGGAATTGATTATTACATACAATACTTTCTTTTTATATTGACTTTCCTTTTTCCATGGTACTTATATGAGTAACATCCTTGAAAGATCCTTAAATTTTGCTGAGAAACAGGAAAGAAAAAAATTTGTATCAAGGTACGTTGCGAGCGTGGCTAGGCTTATTTCGCCTAAGCCTAATTTATAGGGATGTTTCGTGTCCTCCACAGTTGCCCCGCAGGCTGTGTCCTATTACTCCTATTCTCTATTATGCGCCGCCGCCCGCGCCGTCGTAGGCCGAAGCTCCTCCCGATATCTATGTGCCATTCTAAATTATTCGGTATTGTCCTCGCATGATTCCATTGTCCGCGTCTGTCTCCACCGTGTGCTGATACGCCATGCCGCCGCAGGTTAGGGCGTAGACCTACAACAACACCCGCCGTCGCCGCTGGTTGAGCGCGCGTGTATCTGCTTCGAGTACGTCTTGTCATCGTCGGTCAAGAGAGAGAGAGAGAGAGAGAGAGAGAGAGAGCCATCCAGAGAGGCCCACAAGCTCCACTCGTATGTACATCGTCGAACACGTCTAATTAATCGCCATTTTCGAGCCACCATACGCACGATAAGAATATGCGTGCAGAGTTGACGGAACTGTCTGTGACGAATGTGTATTACTGCGTAATTTGAACGATTTTACGATCGCTCTTTTGTTTCGGATGCTGATATAAGAGCTACTTTCAGTGTAACTCATGATAGCAAGGATTGTTCTCAAGTTGACAAGTTAATAAAGACAAGTACGTAAAAGAGAAATGTATGATAAAGTTTTAATTGTTGACAAATTTCTATATTATATTATTTTAGTAATTATATAGACGATATAATTTTCTCAAAAAGTTTATTAGGTATTATAAGTATAAAAAGGAAAATTTTTTTATTATTATAAGCGTATTTGTATTCAATTCGATCCAAGTTTAAATTATAAAATCTATTGCTGACACATGGAATGTGGATTAGCTATATGAGCGTATTCAGAATTTTTTTCAAAGAGACTTTTTATCTATTTTCTGCACACACATAAATAGCAATACTTTAAATAGAAAAATATTAGATTTAGTAAATCATAATTTCTTTTTCTGAATAAAAAAGAAAAAAACAGGCAACATACAGTTATTATAAAATCGAAATCTGTAGTTGAGAGTAGATTAATTTACTTGTTAATATCTCAGTGCATAATCTGTTTTTCGACTCAAAAATCTTGCGAAAATGTTTTTTATGTATACATATACTCTGTCAAAACCTTAACTAACGGAAATTCCTAAAATTATTTACTGGTAAATACGCGTAGGTTATGAAATCAGAGAGAGATCCCCACAGAAGGGAGAAAAAAAATGTTATGTGATAAGAAAAACTTTACTTAGAGTTAAAAGTAAAAGTGTATTTCTTTATAATTAAAAATAAATAATTTTGAGGGGGAGGAGAAGTTGTACTCTCCAAACTTGCTCTTGGATTTAGAGATAATAAGATTTACCATCCAACATTAATTTTATATATAAAATATGTATATGCAATTGGTGCCATGGCGCTTTTCTTTTCCGACGCAACGAGTTTTATTAACTTTCTAGCGTATCAAAATACATGCGAGGCGTATACATATGGTTGCCCCGCGTTGAAAGATATCCAAGAGAAGTTAGATCTCTCTCTCATTCGTGTGTGACAGGAGAGATTACAATAAATTGCACATACACCCTTCTCGAAATACAAGACACGTATAAGGGAGATGAGGAAAGAGGAGAGAAAAAGATTTCTGTTCGCGATACTATGTTCCCTATTGAGCCACGTTGCTTCCCGTCCCGTCCAAAGGGCGGTGACGTTTCACAATGGTTTCGTTTTTCTCACCTTTCCCTTCATTGATTAGATAGACACTTTCGTAAGCCGCCATTCATTGTCGCAGACTACTAGAGAGGATTTTGAAATATCGTATCCCAAGTTTTTCGCGATATTACTCTTACTTATGAATTATTGGATTAAATTCATATAACACCACCACTAACTTAATTTGACGAATCATGACAAAATTGTAACAGCATTTGAACGGCGTCGTCTGAAAATACTTTCTGTATATTTAAAAAATGCAGCACATTGGTATGCAGATCACCTTGAAAGATCTAACAAATATACATATAATATTATATACTTGATTATATACGCCACCGTTTGACTTTACGAAGGTTGCAAAAGGATAGGAATTTCAACATTGTGTGAGATGGTATGTACATTGGGAAAACGGGAGGGGTGATCCCTGAAAGAATGATATTTTAATAACGGTCTCTGCCGGTGGTATATACTGGTGATCCTTCTATACAGGAGCCTAAACGCGTGTGTGCAACACTTATACAAACGTATCAGACAGAACACGTTGAGGGTTTAAGAATCATCCTCTCGGTGCGCCAGCAGCTACATTAACGCGGACTCTTGATATTGCATTCCTTTCCTTTGACGAATGTCAATTATTAATGTTATTATCTAGATGCCACGCCGGAGACAGGGTGGAGATAGCGCTGTATCCTGCTGCGGAATTTTCTCTCGGCATCCTATGAGGAACGTTCATTCGCGCTCAATATATGTGTATAGGACGCGCGCGCGCATTATTCAGTGTCGCCGAAACGAATAATGCGAAATTGATTAGTGATTGTATACACCTAAATATATTAATCACTATATATAGTTTGCGAAAAGAAATGAGATATATTATAGTTATAAGTAATTACAAAGAAATTTATTTACCGGAACGAATAAGATGTCATTTATTATTTATCAAAAAATGTTTTTAACCTATTATTCTCAAATCAGCATTATTTGCGAATTGGTTTGGAAAGTTTGTGCAAAGATACCAAGTAAATTGAAACAAAAATATATCGCAAAAAGAAATTAAATAATTGCTGCTATATTTTGGACAAATCGCGTGTTCATCGATCCATATAATCGAGAAAATCCGGATAATCTACTAAATGGAGAAATCGCGGTTAAGAGAGCCGCACGATAAAGAGTCCCGTGCTTAAACAGGCACGCAAATGGGCGCTCGTATATGAGTACAAGAGGGAAGGTTAAGGGGGGATAAGGGGGTGAAAAAGCGGAAACCGCGTAACCGCTCTGGCTACATTTCCCCCCGGTCTATCAATCCTCTCGCTTACTAATAAACGGTTAAACTTTTTAACGAGCGGTCAGAGAGACTTTCACCTCCTAAGCGCGACCAATCATCCAACGGGATTCTTTCACGCATTGCTGACGCCTTAATAGTCGCGCACGTGCTTACGCGCATGCTGTAACAGCACCCTCGAGAATTCTCTACCCTGTTTTATTTTTAGTTTACTGCCAAAGATTGTAGTATATATAAACTGCCTTTGGCTTCTACACGCGTATGTATGCACACGTGCGTTATTTAAGATTTTCAAATCACAATTCTTGATTGCGCAAATATCAAGTATAACTATTTTTAGAGGTTTTAGTAACAGAAAACTCTGTTACTTCGCTAAAGCATTTCAAGAAGAGATTCCGTTCTATTTCAGGCTTGAAGCGACCTAGAATCTCTGAAAACACGACGATCTTGTCGACTAGCGATACAGGCAATGAAGATGATCGTGATTCTGATTCCGGTGGCGAATTACGAACCGATCATTCATTAGGTAAAATCGTTTATACATATATATACATAAAGATGCAAATATAAAATTATCCCAGAATTTTTACCCTCAGATTTTAGGTATAATTTAGGTATAAAAATATGTATAACATAGCAATTGTAAGAACATCTTGAACACCGTTTATCACACAAATGTATCAGACTCCTAATATTTTGCAAAAATTCTAATAATATATTGATAAATATGTCGTGACGGTACATCGATAAACGCCGCGCGGCGCGGCGGCGCGCCTAATTGCTTTACACTTATTGATTCCAACATTTACTAATAAGATCGCTGCGCGATTAACCCAGTATTCCGATTGCTCTAATCAATCTCAAGCCATTGAATTTTTCATATAAAATTCCCCGATGAAGTGGCAAATGTTACAGTGGTGTCGACGTCGTCAGGAATAGCAGAATCTGAAGCGACGGTGAGGAAACGCACTAATAGCCTGAATGATTCCGAAGAGGGTAGTCCAGAGCCGGGCTCGCAGAGCCCAACGCACACTCCACCATTGACACCCGCCTTGACACCGCAAAGGGAGGACACTCCGGCACCAGAAAATCTCAGCTTACGCAAAAGTGGTAGTCCTCCGCAGACGCAACAGACTTTGCAACCGGTAGATTTGGTTCAACCTAGGCCTAGTCCCCCACTACCCCCGTTAGCTGTGAGTTTTGCCATTTTAGACTTGATGAAATATATAAGTAAACGATAAAGGGTCGCGCGTTTTGTAATTGGAAGAATTATGCAACAGTTTGACGCTCAAGACTATAATCAAGAGTATATCTCTTCATAATTTTTATATCATATGTGTGTTTCTCTCTCGCTCTATCGCTCTGCACATACATATGTAAATAATTTATATTATTTTTTATACAATTTGTTAAAACTTGTATATTGTGTAAGCTCTCAAATCGTCATGTCATTGAATGTATCAATGTTATATAGAGTCAAAAACATTCTTTACATCACACGCGCACGCCTAAGAATTTTAGTTTTAATTAACGACAAATAATTAACTGTATAATTTAGAAACATTTCAAGAGCGATTTTAATTCTTTTTATAGCTTTAATTGTACCTATAACTTGCAATTGAAAGTATAATATTCTGTTTGAAGGTAAAGATTATATAGAAAAAATCGTCACAAAAATATGTGTAAGATTTTCTTTAAAGTTGAGATTCTCTTTAGAAAAAACACGCGGCATATTTGTTTGCATCGCGACGTAATACAATATGTCAAATCGAAAAAGAAATAAGTTATTATTCGAAGACGCAAAACGATAGGCTGCATACGGGCGATAATTTTCAAAGGAGAAATACGCTCGATTGCAGGCCGCGACGACAGTGCACTTTCCTCCTTATGCTCCTCTCTATGGGCCTACGGCGAGTTCGCTAGCGTATTGCTCGCCAGCGCTCTATCAGCACCAGCATCATCACCACATCCCTGAATCGCGGGAAATTCAGATGCAGATGCAAATGCAAAATATTCAGCAGACTTGTGGACTGCAGCTACAGCAGCAGCAGCAACAACAGCAGCAGCAGCAACAACAACAACAACGTTCACCGGTAGATGTTCTACTCCGTGTATTTCCCGGAAGACGTCGCGCCGATGTCGAAGCGCTTCTTCATCGTTGCAAAGGTAAGACATTTTAATTTTTTTCGAGTAATTTTTTAACCATACAAGAAACAGTATTTATTTCGAAAATGTCATCAATATAATATATATCGTTATTTAATCGATGGAAAATTCTTACAATTTAATTTATGTTTACTTGAAAAAATATAACTATATTTGAAAGGAGAGAGAGTCGATACGAATTTTCGCCATTTTTTCATGAGAAAATTACAAAATCATTGCATGCGTTTGCGATTAAAATTATACTTTCATCATTTATGTAATTTTTCAATTACTCTTTTATTATTATTCACTCGCAAGGTGATATTCATTATATTGTTTGTTGAATCAGCATCTTTTACAAAGTTATGCAGACAAAGTTATCGGGAGAGTGATTGCAAAGTTTCCATCTGGATAATTGCTCCTCTCTGTTAGCTTTCTCTTCTCATATATGATATTATCGCTTCATCGTTGTTATATATATGATATGTATGATATATGTAGCTGGCGATAATGTAAATCGTCGACACAGTCAAAAGTCAAAGGCGCGTGCGCGTGGTCCGTGTGGTCTGCAAAAAAGACAAAAAGAGAATTTGCCTATGTGTCGCAGGCGACGTGGTGTCCGCCATGGAGGTACTGGTCTGCGAGGACAGTCTGCAGCCCAAATCGGCGTTTTCGCCGCTGGCGGGCGCCTTGGCATCGGCCGCCGTGGCGTCCGCTGCATCCGTCTCGGCAGCGGCTTACGCCAGCCGCACTGCGTACTGCACCACCCCGATACCGTCGACGCGGCACCGGTTCCTGGCCGCGCCTTACACTGGTACCGGTTACCTGCCCACCGTCATCAAACCGCCCAACCAGAGTCTACATGCCAATGGTACTGGCGACGCCTATCGGGAAACCAGTCCCGATGATGCCAGCGATAAGACCAGTTACTCCGAGTGACCTGACGAAAATTACGCCGTTGCCTGGTCGTATTCTTCAATAATCCCCTAATCAACTCTGTTTAGTTTGTGCATCCTTTGCTCATTCTAAATTCTGCCGAATAATAAGCACACCAAGTGAAATTATTCTTCAGGCTTCTACGTGTTGATTAGCTGAATTAACTTCTGAAAACGTCATTCGTATAATTTGATTTCGACATTACGACGCAGTTTAATACTTTTTTAATATAGTGAAAACAAAAATACCTCTTCTTTTTCATTTTTTTTTTTCATTCGTTCTTAAATTATAATCTTTATTTCTCCAGATATGGCGGTCTTAAATTTAACTATTGGTCATATTTTTATGCCAATAGAAGTATTCCTTTCTGAAAAGGAATCCGTCACTCTAAGAAACTGATAAAAATGTCGTCCTAAGAAGAGCTAGATTCTATCAAAGAATCGAATCTCGACATCTGCGGGCAATACGAAGACCTAATGATGTCGCGCGACGAAGCTCGCGTTCCACTAGACAATAAAAGAATAAAAATTGTTGTCTCCAAAGGAAGATGCCAAGAACGTTTCGAGAATGCCAAAATATTGAAGATTGAGAATATCTGATAATCGGAAAGTACTTGATTTGAATATTTATACACTTGTACATTTCGTACAAAACAAACGGGACAAATCGTTAATCACCCGCCGACTCTTAATGCGTCACGTAATGCGCCGTAGAAAAGTACGAAAAGAGAAACGCCAGAAGATAAGTACACGGATGATTTGTCTCCGCAGACTATACTTTATACATGTGTAGATAAAGACTATATAGATCATGCAGATATGTGTGTAGGTAACAAGTTCGATGAATATCAGCCAAACAAAAAGGAAGGTGAATCTGTAAATACAGCGCTATACCTATAGGTAATTAATCTCGACATTTTTGCCGGAATATATTAAACGTGTTATACGCGCGTACATATGTAATATATATGTGTATGTATGTGTGTATACTGTCTGTAAGTATAACGCCTGCAAGATACCTAGATTGGTCGCTAGCGATCAGAAACATCATCTACTCGTAGTTACCAAATAATATGTTACTCGAAGAAAAGTGTATAGACCGCAAATATATATACAATAAATAAGATATTGATACTCTATATATACGTCAATTCACTTAATTTCCTCTGTTAAATTAATCGTTTATAAAAACTTATTTTTTTTTAGTAAATAAATGATTAAATTCATATCGAAAGATTTTCTTGTATTAAAAAACAGATGCTAATTTATATTTTTTAACTTTAATACTTGATGTTGAATTTTCCTACCTGCGACGGTAAGCCTGTTAATTATATATGTATATATATACGTTATTTGTTGTGACAAAGAAACGAGACGACCCGTCCTTTCGCAGATACACTTGAGATAAAGAACGATGATTGATTTTTACGAAAGACTGTTTTCCGGCTGAATGAAAATTTTACTGCCTCCTTCGACAAATCAAAGGAAAAGGTATCGAATGACGAACACTATTCGTACGTGAAGAAATGGGATACGCTACGCCGCCGTTGTATTCCTGAAATCGTTTCATGGTCGATCAATCTTAAATCGCGCTGCCCTTTTTCAATAAATTGCTTTCGGTCAATGCGAATATTCAATTCTACCGCTCAATTTACGCGGATATAGAATTGTAGAGAGTAAATTATAAAATTTTTCCCACACTTTGTATACGCATACACATCTCCTTCGTAAAAGTCTAGATTGTAAAATAAATTTAAAGATACCCAAATGAATGTTCACTGGATCGCGATCGAGTCGCTCTATTCAATTAATATATGCATATACTTATATATATCTCTTGAATGATATTTTGACGATAGAGAAAACGATCCTTGTCGTAGATACTCGGACAATTACGTTGGTGGGGTGTACCGACAGACTTAGGTACACGGTATCGATGGAATACCGATAATCGACTGGCCTCTACAAGGCGCATATCCGATAGGTCGATGCCTGAACACGCGCCCGACGTTATATACCCGGCAATTTGTGCCCGTGTGCGCGATGCATACGGGCATTATAATGCTCCGGTTATTATTTACGAGGTATGGCCGACCGCCTGGTTTTCCTACAGGGGAGGCAATATATATCGACACCCCGCAGAGTTTCTTCCTTTGGCTACTGGTTACCATCCATAATGGAGTATAATAGCACCTCCCCCCCCCCCCTCCGTTCTCACCCTCTTTGCCTTTACTTATATACTACCTTTGCCGCGATCGAGTTTAATCCGCAGTCTGAGAGTGCAACTCTCCCCCTTTCTTCTTCGTGTCTCGCACCGAGGAATTTTAAGCCACCGAGAGTGAGGAAAGGGGTTGTTAGAACTGGAATCCGATCCAATTGTTGCGAAAAGGGGTACATTGCATGATAGAAGCAAAGTACAATTTAAGATTCTTTCAAAGTTGTTTGTTAAATTATATATACCATATATAACGAAGAAAATTTTCAAGGCTTCAAGATGAAGCCAGATTAAATAATTAATTATGATTATTTTAATGTTAAATCTGTTACTACAGAAAAAGAACATTTTTTTCTATTTTATTTTATGTAACTATAATACATTGATATGATTATGAAACTTTATTGTAACTTTATTCGTACATTATAAATATATAATGTTTAACATGATATTTTAGTTAAAATTTTACGCAAAGTATAAAGAAAAAACGGTCTAAATCGAGCGGTAATAAGATTTTTTTATTTATAAATTTTTAGTTTACAATATTACTAACAATAAGAAACAACATAAAATAAAAATATAAAAATATACTATATAAAAGTATAAAATATCATTTGATTGTAACACTTGCGTTTAACAGAATCAGACAAACAGGTAATGATTCTCCTGTTTTCATATATTTTACACAATTTGCACATTTATAAAAACAGACGAATCATTTCTCTTCAAACAAATTGTCATATACCACACCATGTTACTTTGATCGTAAGATTATGCATTTATCTCGTTGACATCGAAACATCTTTATGAATCGATGAAGAAGAAGGTCCTGTGAGTTCTCCGAAACGTTCGATATTATTTTATACTTTTATATATCTTTTTGTATTTTTATCTCATGTTTATTCTTAGTAATATTGTAAACTAGAAATTTATTAATTAAAACATCTTATTACCGCTCGATTTAGACCGTTTTTTCTTTATACTTTGTATTGTAAAAAACGAGCGAAATCTAATTATAATTTTATACACTTAGACAAGTGATTTATCGAATTTTCTTGTTCTTTTACGAAACAAAATAGAATTAGGCTATACCATACATATATCGTGTATGGTAATAATATATAAACACGGGAAAATATATCTCTTAAATATTACAGCGAAATGTCGTATAGTTGACGCAAATTGGACAGCTTCCGTGTTTATAATTGAAAAACGCTTACATCAGATAACAACAAGTTTTATCAATTTTAAATCATATATGACAGATTATACATATATCATATCTACTTATACATCCAAAAATATATAATAATAATAATTTTCAATTTAATAGGGAGTTGTTAAGAAACGAATCGAGATACGACGACGTTACATAATTCCAACGAGAATTTTTATTTCCATAACTACTTTTTCTTTCCCATTTTTTGTCTTTTTTTTTATTGGTCAATGAATATGGCTAACCGAATAACGAATCGGATGGCTTTTAACATTTTTTTTTCAACTTCCATCAATATTTGCTCTCTCGCTCGCTATTGCTCTTCGTTTTCTTTTTATTCATATAGGATGAGTTCTTTTACCTTACGTGGGTGCACACGCGCACCCATACCGCATGCTTGTGTGGCTACACATTGGTCCGCTTAAATATACATACGTGTACGAGTGCATGGAAGCCAATCGAAGAGAGATCTTTTGGGCCGCGCACGGAAGAGAGAATAAAGTGTTGCCGAACGTCGGCAAACATGGCGCCGTGTTTGCTCGCCCCAAGAAACGTTCGGTGTATAGTGTGACACACCGATCTATGTGTGTGATTTAATATGAACGAAGGATGACACATACGGAAATATGTAGAATATCTTTTTGTCGGTTAACTCTAGTCAGTTGGTATAAAGGAAATATATCGGTTACATATTAGATATTGTTTGCGACTCGGAAGAATTATATCTATGACATATAGGTATAAAAATTGCTTTATTACGATTTTTCTTCTATTACTTTTTAAATATTTCGATTTCGCTTTTATCGTGATAAAGACAAAATGTCTATCTTGTTTCTCAACTGTTTGTTATTCGGCGGCGTACGACAAACTCTGCAGTCGCAGTCGGGAGAATAGAGAGAGAGAGAACGAAGTAATAGAGTCTGGGGGGACCGCGCCGCGCCGCGCCGCGCCGCGCCGCGCCCGCCGGTACAAATCAAGGACCCCTTCCATCCTCTGAGGGACGTCGCGAAACAATTCCGAACTGAATAATATTAGTATCTAACAATAGACGTGCTAAATTGAAATACAGAGAGCACTACGCGAGCTCGCGTCACCCCGCATTCTCCGCGCCGCGCCGTGCCGTTATAAACGGCGTTCGTTTAGCTATGTGGGTGTATGTATGTACGTGCACCTAGTGAGTGTCGAGGTGCACCTAGGTAGATAGAGGACGTACGTAGCGGCTGTATTCTCTTCGCGTCCGAGTATTAGTTTTCCCTGATGGCGCAAGGATCGCACGGTGTACGCTGTGACACCAAGCTGCACAAGGCGAGAAATAGCATGCAAATGAAATATTAATTAAATCTAGGAAAATTCGCTATCTCTCTCTTTCTTCCTCACTGGCAACCGTTCCTCGAATGATCCTTTCCGTTTATCATACCCTATATCTTATCCTTTAGATTAGTTTAGACGTATATACGTTCTCCCATAGTCTTTAAAAGAATGTATCTACGCCCTTATTTTCGCAACTATTTATTTAACTTGAACTTTAATGTTTTACGATAATACAACGCAAATCTGTGTGCGAGTAAATTACTTATCTGTTATCGAATAATTAGTATTATTATTCTTATTTTATTCACATATAAATATTAATTGATATTAAATGTTAATATAAATTAATAGA